AACTCACCAGTGTGGAATCAAAACACTAAAGTAAGTTCCTTTGTGCGCTGTCTTTGCGAGAGAACCTAACGTATGATTGGGCAGACTATGAGAAATAGCGATGCCTCGAGCTTCGAGGTTTCCTCCTCACCACGCCTCTTCTGGCAAGGCCGTGAATCAGGCTCGCCTTTCCCAAGGAGTTCCGAGAACCAGGCCCCATATGATCCAGACTCTCCGTATTCAGCATCCAAGCGTCCATCGCTGGAAAATCTCAAGCGCGCATCTCGAGTGAAAAACAGCAACATGCTGCGTGAACGTAACCAAGAGTACGATCCAGCTAGCGTATATGTTCCACAACGACCGTTGGCGACAAGTAGATCGCCACAGAGACAGCCTCAAAGCAACTCATCTCCTCAGCAGCCCCCAAACCGTGATGACCGCCAACCAGGACCACGACCTCCATCACCGAGCAAAGACCAGGTATCTCCAGCCAAATCCTCCCTGTCTCGTGCCAGTCGATTTGGCGTCAAAGGAACCGGCTTCGATCCTGAGAGCGAGATCTGGTCGGATTTCGACAGCGTTGGTAATCGGTACCCTAAGAGCGTGACCTTCGATGCTGCTCCTCCTCAGGTGAATGAGTACGAGATGACTACTCCAGACCCTTCGTCGATCGCCTCGGAGTCTCGCGACGGAAGCTATGACTCCGAAGAGGATGAGGTTGATGTCAGTTTCGATCGGGAATCTTCACTTGACCGCGACGATAGCTTCGATGCCTCTTTGGAGGATCTTGAAAAGACCCCCGTTGTACTCCCCGAGGATTGGCGCTATATGAGTCCTTCCACCGCAAACGACGAGCTTGTGAAGGAGGATGACGACCCATTTACTGAGGATGACGAATCCCACAGTCCCGGGCCCACGACTCCCTCACAGCAAAAACTGCCTCTCCAGCATTCCCGTGTGGAGTCATTGGATTCGAACGGAGAGCGTCGTCCTCTGCCTCCCCTGCCTGGCGCGGGTCGTCTACCTGTCACCCCTCACTCTTCCTCGCCTGGAAAATTAGCAGCAGCGTTCGAGTTGGGAAGTGGTGGTAAAAGGGTTCTTCCCTCCCCCCCTGCTCCTGCATCATGTACAAAGTCGGATATCAGTGAATTGAGCCGTGCATCCATGTCTTTGGAGGACAGACTGCGTTTGATGATGATCCGCAAGGATGAACGGGCCAAGCAGGAGCAGGAGCACGCTACTGCCGAACCAGAACATGTCAAGCCATCCGAGGTGGCCGACCATGCCACGGAGGACCGCAACAATGATGAGGCTAAGGATGTGGAGGAGCATGATACCGATGAAATCGATATTGCTATGCCTCGAATCTCCAGAGACTCCATCTTGAAAGACCTCCGCAGAAGCGATAGCTTCCTGGACGACCCATATGATGAGGACGAGTCTATGATTGCATCCAGTCCCCACCATTACATGAATTATGATCCAGACGTTCCCATTCCATCTCTTGAGAACGATAATGACATTGACGACGATTATGAAGACTCGGACTCTGACGTGGTGATCAAACGAGAAGAGCACGATGATGATCTCTACGACATACCCAAATACGATGAAACCCTCCCGTCCCTTGATTCCTCCGTCAAGGATTTGGAAGACAAGCCTGCTACTGACGCCTCCCAGGCCTCTCAGCTGTCCGAGGATATCTTCGAGCACCGAAAGCGGGAGTCCCAAGGATCCAACGATAGCCAGGCAACTCCTGTGCCCCAGGAAAGACCCGAGGAGGCGGTAGATGGACCCGATAACACTGACGACCAAGAGCTCCCAGGTCCGAAGATGGCAGCAATCACGGAATCCCTACGACGCCCGATGACCCCGGAGATGAATGAGCCTGTCTCTGATCCATGTACCCCCGACTCAGTGATCCGTCACCCGATTGACGAAGAGGATGACGACTCTCAGACCTCTTCCGACGAAAGTGTACCGGAGCCGGTTGCTACTGTCAAGGCACCCAACGGACTCAAGACACGCCCTTCTCTTACACCGGCGGATGTAGATTCGATGGCGGCAGTCCGTCGCAAGGTCAGCGGACAGCAGCCCCCACCAATGCTTACCCTGAGCAAGCAGATATCCCAAGAATCTGACCACTCATCCCCCGACGAATCCGCGTCAGAGTCTGGTGATCAGTCCGCTCACCTGGCGGCCTCTACCGCGCCCAACAAGGACCTCACGCAGCGTCAGACCAGTTTTGTTAAGCTGGATATCCCATTCAGCATCCAAGAAGAGAGCCTCGGCATGGGTCTAGACAAGGAATTTGACCGAGTCATTGAATCCCAAAAGGTTGCGTTTGAGAAGTCCCTAGCCCAGTTATTTGCTTCCGCGCCCACTACCTCTACCCCGGATTCCCATAATCCTCAGGACCCCAGGAACCCTTTTATTGCCCCTAGAGCACCAGCTGACAGACAATTTCCCATACAGAGAGGTTATCTCATGAGGCATAACACCAAGGTTGTCATTGCTAGCAATCGCAGTGATGAAGAACCAGCCCCCGCGCCTGGCGAGACCTCGACCGACCCGCGTACAGTGAGGTCTCCAGCCCCCTCACCGCGAAAGGCGAGCCAGCAAACATGGACAACCGTACCCTGGAATGGACAACCTCGCCGTCCGAGCATGAGAATGTCTGGTGGTATCCCCAAGAAGAAGCCGGTTGCAGGCCCTGTGCCACCCCTTCCAGGTCAATCGAGCAACGTCCAGGAATCCATCGCACCAATTGAGGAGAGTGAACCCACCTTGGATGGTGCTCTGGATGATGGCGAGGAACGCGGCCGCCTGTTTGTCAAGGTCATCGGGATGAAATACCTCGATCTGCCACTCCCCAAGGGTGAGTATTCATTCGCTGGTCTTCCAACCAACCCCCTTCCTTCTCCGTGCGACCTGCCGATGCTAACTGCAGAACTAGGCGAGCGATCGTACTTTGCTCTTACGCTGGATAATGGCCTTCATTGCGTCACCACTGCTTGGCTGGAACTCGGGAAAACCGCTCCGATCGGACAAGAATTCGAGCTCATTGTACAAAATGAGCTCGAATTCCAGCTGACACTTCAAATGAAAGTCGATGATGCTAAATTCAGGGTTCAGGAACCCGCTGCCCCTGCGTCACCTGCGAGACAGAAGGCGTCCACTTTCAGCAGGGTTTTCGCCTCACCACGCAAGCGCAAGGAAATGGAGATGAAACAGCAACTTGCCTCCCAGCAACAAAAGAGCAAGGACGTAAATGCTGGCGTCTGGGATAGACTGAGGACTCTTATTGCTCGTGACGGCAGCTTTGGACGGGCCTACGTTGCGCTCAGCGACCACGAGAAATATGCCTTCGGTCGGCCGTACACTGTCGATGTGGCTTGCTTCAACGAGTGGGCGGTCGATGAGCAACCAAGCAGCGTGAAGAGCAAAAAGAGCACGTCTAGTGCAGTCTCTCAACGACGCCCTCCATACAAGATTGGCAAACTGGAACTACAGCTCTTGTTCGTTCCTAAGCCCAAGGGTGGAAAGGACGAGGACATGCCCAAGAGCATGAATGCATGCATCCGCGAGATGCGCGAGGCGGAGGCTGCTTCATCCCGCACCTGGGAAGGATTTCTTTCTCAGCAAGGAGGTGATTGCCCGGTAAGTGCTCCACCCGACTAGCTCTGTATCGAGTCTGTACTTATGTGTCATGTTTTCGACAGTACTGGCGTCGCCGTTTCTTCAAGCTTCAAGGTTCCAAGTTGACAGCTTACCATGAAACCACCCGCCAACCCCGTGCCACGATCAACCTGTCGAAGGCTGCTAAGCTGATCGACGACAGGTCATCTCTAATCCAGAAAGAGACAACCACAAAAGGTGGCGGGCGACGCAAGTCTGCGTTCGCCGAGGAGGAAGAAGGCTACATGTTCGTGGAAGAAGGATTCCGTATCCGCTTTGGAAACGGTGAAGTGATCGACTTTTACGCTGACAGCGCAGCGGACAAGGAGGGATGGATGAAGGTTCTGGCTGAGACTGTCGGCAAGGGCAGCTCTTCTGGAAGTAGTCAAATCAAGCCTTGGACTGAGTTGGTCCTCAAGCGCGAACGAAGCATGAAGTCCAGAAGAGAGACAACTGATCGATTCTCCACTCACGCACCTCCTCCGCCAGTGAAAAAGGATGTCGCTTCCGCTGCGGGAATGACGGCGCCGGCGCCGGCATCACCACGACCAGGGCATAAACACACGCAGTCTCAGCCCGAGATCCGCAGTGCGGATGTTCGGCGCCAGAAGGCACGTTCGCTGATGTTCTGAAATGCATATCGACCCCAAATTTCTTTCCATTTCTCCCTGCGGCTCTTGGTACGGTTTCCGCTTGACTGTCTCTCGGAAGCCATTTGTCCGTTGTCTATTTTTGAGAAACTTGATTATTGCACATGCCTTCTCCTTTCTCTGTCTGTTTCTTTCTTTTCCTTTTTGACTTGTACTGATCGAAACGTTGGCGTCGGTGTCCAACTTGGCCATTTCTCTTTTGTTCTGACTCCCCTGGTCGTGGTCACTTCTACTCTCGGCTTCTGTGGGTTGACATCAAAGCATTCCGTATTGGGGATTCTGTCGCGAGCTCTTCCATGTTACATTTTGCCGTAAATTAATGACACATAGCGTCTTTCATTTCCTGCGTTGATAGTCGAATTAACTTGCATTCACTCTTTCTCTCCGTTAGATTTGAGTCGCTGTCACTGGAATAATTTTAGAGGTCAACTGGGTTTATACGCTGCGTATTACCAAGGTCTGTTGGCCAAATACTATGGTAACTAGATCTGACGCTAAGTAGACTGCTTTCACACTGGAATAAGTGTGATGCTACGAAAAATCACCTGACGCTTCAATGGTATGGTCCTTGTAGGGCCATTTGTATTATAGAAGCTGTCGGACACACCTGAATCCCATCTATATCCTCGGGAGTCCAGTATATCTTCATCAAATTCCTCTGCATTTTTACCTAGAAGAAATGATACGGCACGTTCAACCACCCTCCTCACCATTCGCACCCTCACCGTCCGACTCGGATTCCACAGCAGCGAGGGCCTCTCTCTGAGATTTCGGGTTGCGCTTACTGTCCTCCTTCTGTTCCGACTCTGTGGCATCGGTAGGTGGCGTTGGCAGTTTAGAAGCCGCCATACCGCCCGACGTAATGTAAAGGAATGTCTCCTGGCTGAAGTGATCGATATGGTTGAAGAACACCGAGAACCTGTTCACTTGTCAGCGACTGATTCGGAGAAGGGGAAGAGGGGAAGACTGTGGAGACTTACGCATTCGCTTGCTCTTCCTCGCGGAAGATCCGATTGTAGATCTCCCGCTGCTTGAACTCGTCGATTTCCTTCTGATACTTGCTGAAATCGATGGGTTCCTTGCCCAGCGTGGTGGTTGCCTTCTTGTTGTAGCCGTCGAAGATGGGCCGTTCCAGCAGCAGGCCCAGTCCCGGCGCCTTGGGGATGGCGATCTTGGTGGGTCCGTATGAGTCCACGATGCGCTGGGGATCGCACCCGGCTCGGACGAGCATTGTCGCCATGGCGACCATCTTGCGGATCTGGTGCATCATGAAGCTTTGGCCGTGGACTTTGAGGCTGAGCCACTCGGTGCCGTTGATGATGATCGGGTTGCGGTCGACCTTGAAGGACTTGATGAAGCGCTTGGCGGAGGGGTCGGTGTAGGTCTTCTGGATGGTGTAGTTGTAGAAATTGTTGGTGCCGACGTACTTGTCTAGTGTGGCTTGCAGGCGGTCCAGACGGGTGGTGGGGATCCGGTATGCTCGTTTGGCTTCGGTGTAGGCGGTCTTGACTTTCTTGACAGCCTCGTAGATTTGCCGTCTGCGGGCTTCTTCTTCGGCCGATACCTCTGTGCTCTTGTCTTGGGTGGTTTGTTCGGAATCTGCAGGGTTAACTTCGGAGGAGGTTTGTTGCGCCGACTCTTTCTGACCGGCATCTTCGTCTTCTGGAGCTCTCTCCTCATCAAAGTATAGAGCCTTTTCGACTAACTTGCGGAGATCTTCTGGGAAGTTATGTAGAATAGGCTTGATACGCTCATTATCGACGTCTTCCCAGTAGGTAGCTACCTCCTCCTGTCGGGCTTTGTAAGCTTCAAGGTCTCCTTCCTTCTCGGCAAGCTCGGCAATCTTCCTGCCAAGATAAGTGCTGGGATGTGGCGGGAGGAAACAATAGCTTGGAATCAGGTACTCGTAGACACGAGAGTCGCACATCTGGTAACAGCTGAATCCCTTATTCGTGACCTGAATATCCCAAACCCGGATCTGTGGGCAAAGCTTCTCGTTGATCTTCTTAATGATGTCTGGATCTTCGACAATCAGTTTTAGCGAAACGACGTTACCCGCCGCATGGACACCCTTGTCTGTGCGCGCGCATCGGACCAAAGACGACTTTTTGGGGTCGGCAGCGTTGGCTTTGGAGATGGCACCCGCCGCAACGAACGCGGTAAACAGATCTCCTTCGATGGTCTTTTCCTTGTCACTCCTGGGTGCAAGTCAATATCCTAGTCCAAAGTCCCATAGGTGTCTAAGAGCCGTACAATTGCATTCCATGATAGCCCGTCCCAGCGTATCCAATTAATACAGCAACCTTCTTCTTCGGCCGCCGCTGCTCATTTTCGATATCTTCCGGCGAGAAATGTGTCGCATAGATAGGCCCTGACACTTCTTCACCGTTCTCAAGCTTGCGCCGTTTGGCTTCGTTTTGCTCCTCATTGCGCGCTCTCTTGTCTACCATGTGCCGACTTGCCAGGTTAGTTGATGACAGCTGGGACAGGTTGATCATCTTCGCGCGCGAACATACCTCCATTCTGCCCTTCCCATATTCCTCTTCTTACGCTTTTCACCAGCTTCTCCTGGTCCCTCAGCTCTTCGTTCGTTATTGTCCATGGTGAATTTCGTCTTTGCCAATGCTGTAATGACAATTTGGTCCCGAATTGCCGTTGTGCGGTCGTAGAATCGACTAATCTAGTATTTCGTAGCGACGGAGTGATTATTGCAAGGTTCCTGGGGGATGAATTAATCCCAGACAAGCACTGACGCAGGGAAACGTGGGCGCGCATGAAGAGACTTCTGCTGCGTCTAGATGGCTTCACATTAGCGTTTTTTGACCTTTTTTGGCTGCGATTTGACGTCGGAGACGCGCTACACCATATCGGGACTAGTGAAAGATCTATTGGACTATTCCCGAATCGTACAGCTCTTCGGCGCCTCAGGCACTAACAGTGGGTGCCTCGGGCATGCTCTTTGGTTCCAGCCTTTCAACTCCATCTCGCCTCATCCTTCTCTTCTACCACGCTCCTTTGTCCCTGTTCTGCAGTTCGGTTGTGTCAAGGCTGTGTCCAGGCTGTTGCATCACTTCTTCCCTCCTTTAAATCCGATCTGGCCTCTTCCGGCTGTCTGGACGGAAAAGAATGTCCTTCGTCTTTCGTTAAAAAGTTCTCTTCGGTGACATCAAGAATCTTTGCGCCGTTCCCCTTCGTGTTTGCTTGGAACCACGAGGTATTTACAGGTTTATCTTAGCTACGCGATAAATCTCAATCTCTCCCGGGATGGATCTTGCCAATACTCTCATCCGGACCGTGGTCCGGGCCTTCTATGAGACTCGCCAGATTCTCATAGTCGATGCGCTCTTCATCCACTCGGTGTATGTCTATTTTTCGAGGGCTTTACAAATGTCGGAAGCCTAGGTATACACGGCTGACATTCATTTCATTTAACTCGGTGTAGTCTCCATGCGGAAGATCTTGCGTTCCTGCTTGGCATGCAGCAGAAGGACCTGCGAAAACTTTGCGCCAAGTTGCGCGAAGATCGTTTGATCGCGGTGTATGGCTCGCTTGCAGTACCAGACTAATTGGACCTGCAACCAAGCTGACATGATTGACTTTTCCCCCGTGCAGAAGCACACGAGCCGAGATTCGAGATGGGTCAACCCGGCCTGTCAACCGTGAATACTACTATATCCCGTTACATCCGGTCATCGACGCAATCAAGTTCAAGGTCTCGAAATTAACCTCGACGATCAAAGCTCAGTACACGCCAAGCGAGGAAAGGAAGGAATACGTATGCTTGCGTTGCGGCGCAGAATGGACGGAGCTGGACGTTCTGAGTCTGTATTCGGACGAGGGCTTCGAGTGCCAGAACTGCGGGGCCATCCTAGAGCGAACGGAGGACGTCAAAGGAGCCGAGGGAATCGATCGCACGGGACACGAGAAAAACAGCAAGCTCATGGCCCAGCTTGATAACATGCTGAAACTGCTGAAGCAGATCGACTCGGTCGAGATCCCGCCCAACGACTTTGAGACGGCATGGCAGCACAAGGTCGACGTCGTCCGCAACCAACAAACACACCCTACCAGAGCCGCCATCGTCGTCCCTTCAAAACAGCAAGAAGCCGTCCGCGGCAACCTCAAGACCGACGCCGCCGCGCTGGAAATCTCCCTCACTTCCACCGAGGAGAAGAGTGCTGCCGAGCAAGCGGAAGAAGCGGCGCGCAAGGCCGCCCTCGAGAAGCAAAACGCCCTTCCCGTCTGGCACACCCACTCGACGGTCTCCACCACCGCCGGCAACGTCAACTACATCAAGACCGAGACAGACGCCGCCATCAAATCCGAAATCAAGGAGGAAGAAGACCGCAAACCCAAGATCGAGGACCTAGACGACAAGGTCGCTGCGTACTACGCCGAGATGGAACGAGAGAAAGCCCTGCAGGCCCAACGCGACGCCAGCAGCGCCGACGAGGACGATTCAGATGACGAATTCGACGAGGAATTCGAAGACGTCGGCGGTGTCTCCGCTAGCGACACCGCTTCTCCAGCGGTCATGGGCGGGCCTACCAGTGCACCTACCTCTGCGCCAGTCGGCATCAAGCGCGAGTTCGACACGGATTCCGGAACGAGTGCGCCTCAGACCGCTGTGGGCACGCCGAATACCCCCGCCGACGAGGGACCAGCAGCGAAGAAGATCAAATTGGAGCCTGATGTTAAAAAGGAGGAGTCTGATGAGGATGACGAAGAGTTTGAGGATGTCTGAGGCGGACAGTTGGCCGTCTCTGACAAGCTTCAAGGATCACGAGCGCGGGCGCTTGCGATCAGGTACCTGCAGAAGGGAGAAATGATGAAGCGACTAGGATTTTCATAGCCTACCTATCCCCGAGAGCCCACACTGACTCGGTCGTTGACTACTGGTTGGCTGGATATTACTGCTTCCGTAGGGAGTAGATTCTTGCATCGATTGCGAACGATCCTTACAATAGCCTGTACAATAGTTTCCACATGAAAAAAAATCAGTCGCCCATAACACAGATGTCGATTGAAAGATCATTCCATAGCTCTAGTCCATTCCTCTAAAACTTTTTCTTATAATCGTAGCAACAGAGATCATAGCTTCATTTGCTCCACAGCATCAGACCTTCCGCATCAGAAACGGTGTATAGTAGGTCGGTACAACAACCAAAGACGCCTGAACGCGCTCGACATGGAACCTCGTCATTGCGATGTCTCAAAGAACAATCACCCATCATGTAGCGCAAGTTCGGGAAGCTGTAAGATAAAGGAGAAAAAGGTCACGGAGAAGTGCCAAACTCCAACCGTGGTCGCCCGAAACAAAAGCCAAACAGCCAACGCCCGCTTCTGCTCTCGTTTGTTGGGCTGGAAAGGAAACGCCGACAAATGCAGTGTCTGCAAGTCCGATGTGAAACTTGGTCATAAAATCGTCACTCGTGTGTGATTCAATCACAGCGTTTCATCAAGTCCGTCGCCGGTCTACTCATCACGGTGAACCTGCCATTCCCATCTCCGAATCGCTCGGCAGCATGGAATTCTCTTCCCATTCATCTGGAGATGGCAAATCAGACACTGTCATCAAGGGTTAGACGTTGACAGGGGATCAAGGAGAAAATATTAGCATACCGGAAGCCAGTTCTTCTGGCATATTCACAGATAGCTCATCGATGGCTGCGCTAACGGCTACAAATAGATGGTCAGCCACGATCCCGGGCAAATGGGAAATGTAGGTACGGAATCGAGGGCAAACGAACCTTGCGCCTGACGGACAACCTCTTGGTCCTCTTCGCTGTCATCAAAATACGTAACCAAACAATGATCTATCACGGCTTTGACGCTTTCGATCACCTTTGCTTCCACATTGTTGGCAGGCCCAGTCAAGAAAGTCTTTCTTAGCTTCTCGACACTGTTGCGCACGAGCTCCTTTGCGATTTCGGCATGACGTGACTGCCAATCAGGGCCCATGGCTTCTGCTTCTGCACTGAAGAGTATTTGGTGTAGAAGCGCCAAAGTGGTGTTCCTGACCGTCCTGTCAGGAAAGATGAGTAGAGTTGGAGCCCAGTCAGGTATTTTGTCCACAATCTGCGCCAGAAACCAATTCTTCTCTAGACCAAGACGTTCGTTTCGACTTGTCAGCAAGCTTGTAAAGAATGCGAGATGCTCTCTACCGCCACTATCGTTGATTGACTCAATGCCCTTGGCAACAAAGTCAATGAGTGTAATGATTCTGTTCTCATCAGGGCTTCTTTGGCAAAGAACCAAGGTCGCCTCCAGAAACGGTGCACAGAGCTCAGCGGGCTCAAGCCTGAGTCCATCTTCCAAAACCTTGCATAGCGGATCCATTAGACCGCCTTCAGGTTCCGAGTCCAGCAAAAAACCGACGATAGCCATAGAAGCGTGAGGATTATGATTTGTATGAAGGATCTTCTTCAGCAATGATAGCTCGCGATCCCTCCCGAGAGAACGAACGAACACATTTTCTGTGATTGTAAGTGAAAACTTGCCATTCGGTAAGGAGCGCCGCTCATCATCCGAGGTTGGGGCCACAGTGAGGTCAACCTTTGTCAACAGGAATGCCAAAAGGTCCATGAGTCTCCTGTGCGAAAATTTCCTGCCCTTTTCGACTAGTCTGCAGTAAGACAGATATTGACGCTTCAACCTCTTTGAGTCTTCTCCATCGAGCCAAACAATTTCCAGACATTTGAGGAGAAACCCGCTGTTCAAGATCATCTCACTCTCATAACTTCCCAGGTTGGCAAGAGACAGAAGAAATGTGAAGTAATCGTCCCATGAACGGCTTGTAGTATGGAGAACGGGCCATAGCCCATCCAGAGTGGCAACGACATTCTCAAATCCATCAAGGTATCGCATGTGCCATTTCTCCTTCGCACGGTCATCGAGATGTGTCTCCTCACGGAGCTCTTGAAGTCTTTCGAGTGCGCGCATAATGATCTTGATCGTACTGTCCCGGACAGACGCATGAGGACTTCTCAGTACCAGATTGCGAATACCTGCTGATCGCTCCACCACCCACTCGAGCACTCTGTGAGCTCCCTTTGGCAACTCATTGATCACTCCCACAAGCTCCGAGACGAAGACATCGAGACCCAGGGGCTCCCTGGTTCTCGCAATCAGTTGTTCTAGGGTATCTAATGCGATGAAGACCACGTCCTGATCCACTTTAGGTCTCTTGTTCGTGATCTCCTTATCATGAAGTCGGGACAGGAGATGTCGGACAAACAAGGCATGATAAGGGTCCATAAGACAGTATGTTCGTATAAAGACCTCATTTTCCATCGCAATGTGGTTTGCTAGCGGAATCGGTAAGGACACATGCACTGGATGGTCGGCCTTGGAAGGCTTGTACAGCAATTTTTCCGACTCCATACTCGAGATGCGTTGGTAGAAGAGCATGTAAGCGTTCCAGACCTTGTTGAATCGCACTTGGTTTACGGTGGCGGAGTGGACCGAATCGTTATAACCACCAAAACACTGATCTGCAATCTTGGATGGGTCGAACCTGCTTACGTCCGAATCATTGAATTCCACCCAAGAGCCTCTTCCTCCAGCATTGGGCCTCTCCCGAATATATGAGTAATAGTGCCC